TGCGACCTCTAGTGGCAGGAAAGTGGAACAACATCATAACTGGCTCTTCAGATGCTTGGTAGTGTCCCAAATTGCACCCTATTGCCTATATAGTGTACTACTTTTGACCAGGGCCCATAGTGCACTGTGTAGGGAATAGGGTGCCATTTGTACTATAGAGTGATATAATCGATTGCTGTATAGCTGCTGTGTTTAAATGTTCTGTGGATCTCTGTGTTTAGGGTAAAAGAAAAGAGCATCTTTCACCTTGTTGCTGATACGTATTCATTCCTTTCTACAGAGCTATAGGTTGGGGCCTATAGGTAGCATGGTGCTTGTAACAGCATGGGAGTGGGTTCGATTCCAGGGACCACCCATATGTAAAATGTATGCACTCATGACTAAGTCGCTTTGGATAAAAGCGTCTGCTAAATGGCATATTTTATTTTTAGGACATCAGATGAGCATTGACGCAGATGCTTAGGAACTGACACTCAGTATCTTACCACACATTGGACACAGTCTATAAATACACACACACACACACACACACACTAGCCCTCCCAGACCACTCCAGGACTGTGACAAGACTTGATTGATTGGTGATTGATGGATTATGATATTGTCTCTTCCTGATTTAGCTCCAGCCTGAATTAGTCATTTATGTTATGTTAGAACAGATCTGATAGGCCCTTTGAGAAAGACCAACGCATGTCACAGCCAATCAGGAGCGGCCTTTTTGAGAAGTTAATTACTCTACTTCACAAACGACAGCCAATATTTCAGAATGATTTGATTCAGGGGGTTTTACAGTTGACAGTTTTATTTACATTGTATTTCAAGTTTGAATGAAGTCCATTTAAGTTCATATAGGTTTAATATGACCAGACTGATGTTCAGAATGTCAATACATTAGGCTGACATACTGTATAATAAGGTTACATGTAGACAACATGGATGACATTAAGGCTCGGCTGGAAAACAGACAGTCCCTCAGATTTTTTAATAAGGTCTCTTACCTTTTATAGTTGTGGCCAGAGGGATGTCTGGGTCCAAGCCGAGCGAGACAGATAAAAATGTGACCCAGAAGAGCGACATGACAGCACCAAATGTTGTGGAAAACTCAATCCAAAGATTTAGGCATAGACCATATAATTGTATAATAGAAAAATCTTTAATCAAGCAGTTGCGAGGGAGATCTGTCTCTGATTTCACAGGGAAGAGGTCGAAGATTATATAGTGGAAGGTGACAATACAATCATAATGTTACACAACAGTTATTTATACAAGCAACAGTTCCAGAACACAATGGCCTTGTGTTAGGGTTCAGACATAACAGGAGTCTATGAAAGGCATAACATCACAGTCCAACACAGAACATATCCCTTGAGAAGTTACAACAGCTCACCCCAAATTCTGCCACCACAAAAGGATGACATTAAGCAGAAATTATACAAGGTGAATTTCCTCTCTGTTAGTATAATCATATAGTGATAAACACATTGCAATTAATTCAGACTGTGAGTAACACACACACACAGTATTTCAATGTTTGGTATAAAACAGTCAGTCAGTGACATCTACAGGAGTGATGACCAGTGGGGCTGAGTTATCAATAGTACCAGAATAAAATAATGGATAGAGTTTCTCAGTGAAAGTGCAGCCAGAGAAAGAGTAGATATGAGACCTGGCCTCCACATTATAGAAGGAGACCTGACCCTCCTCATAATCCACAAACACCCCCACCTTCTGGGGTTCACTCCAGGAGATGGGGACAGAGGGCCCAGTAAGAGCCTTGTACTCTCCATCCCTCAGCCACACAGTCCAGCATCCATTGTCAGGTTTCAGGTGAATCATCCTCTTCCTGTTGATGGACTTGCTGACCACTCCTAAAGTCCACCCAGTCATCCCCTCCACCTGAACCTCATAGTAGAATCTCCCTGAGGAGAAACCTGCCTTTCCCAGGACATAGTGAACTTTATCAAACCTCTCTGGGTTGTCAGGGAGATCTTGTTTTATGTTTCCACATTTAACTTGTTTCCTGTCTTCAGACAGGATGAGGTTAGGATGTGCTGTATCTGGGTCTAAAGTCACATCCACTATGGAGAGAAACACACTTTATTAGAATGATAAAATAAATATGGGGGACTGCATTTTACTGCTCAGTACATTACTCTAGGACACATGTATAGTGATGTGCTGTATCAGGGTCTAGAGTCACATCCACTGTGAAGTGAAAAATAGTCTATAAAAATTAGAAGAAAATAACATCAATATGGGGGACAATATTTTACTGCAGGACTTAATGTACAGTACACTACTGTAGACATATGTAGCCTATAGGTTGTTATTGATAACAACATAAGTATACTGTAGATATGAATGTGTCATGTTATTTCAAGTAATCCCGGTACGTGAAGATATTAATATTCATGTGAAACTCTAGGTGGGAGGACTGGAGAGTACATGACACTGACTGTCACGTTCGTTGATGAACGGGTCAGTCCAAGGCGCAGCGTGATATGCATACATGTTTATTATACCGAATAAACACAACGACAAAACAATAAACGAAACGTGAAGTCCAAGGTAGACACAAACAACATACCTTATACGGAACAAGATCCCACAACTCACTAGTGCCAATAGGCTGCCTAAGTATTGTCCCCAATCAGAGACAACGAGCGACAGCTGCCTCTGATTGGGAACCACACCGGCCAACCTAGATCTAGAAAACATAGACAACAAACATAGAAAATCACACCCTGGCTCAACAAATAAGAGTCCCCAGAGTCAGGGTGTGACACTGACCTGCATGTCTTCTGATGGCTTCTAGAATATAGAGAAAGAGCTTGTCAGATTTGGGGAAACTATGGTAACATGATGACAAATCTCCCTCTCTTAATCTCCAAACTTTAATGACAAGGTGAGGGATAATTTTTTTTAATTCAAGTTCAGTACCAGATACATATCCAAAGTGACATGGTGTAAAAATACATCACTCTACCATAATATACTGTAGTATACCAACAAACAACAAAAATATGATATGAAGACATCAAGTACATTTGAAATACAATTCAGTGTCATTAATTTACCTGGACACCCCTTCATGTTTACAAATTCTGTGGGTAAATTCAACAAATAAAACCAATTATAATTCCAGTTCATTGAAGTTTGAACATGTTTTAATACAACTAAATATAATTATTGTTCTGAACATTGCCATCGCAGTGAGTACAAATTAATTCCAATACAGTTATATTTTACTACATAATTATGACTAATCTTTGTGCTATTTGCACAATGCATATTGTAAGTCCTTAGAAAAGGGCTCTCCAACCCTGTTCCTGGAGGGCTACCATCATGTAGGTTTTCACTCCAACCCTAATCTAGTGCACCTGATTCTAATAATTAGCTGGTTGATAAGTTGAATGAGGTCAGTTACAACTAAGGTTGGATCGAAAAACCTATAGGAAGTTAGCTCTGTAGGAACAGGGTTCCTGAGAATATGTATTGTATATTGACCATAATGGTCTAGTAATGCATCATGTATATCTCCTACTTACCCAGCTGATCAGTGAGTATCTCTGCAGAAAAAAAAAAAATGACACATTGATGCAAAGGAGTGTTGGACACAACTTACTCAGCCTACATTCCTTGTCATCTTGAACTTTTTCTGCAGGCATAAAAAGAGAACAGTTAGCGTGAACATCCTTAATGAACACATCTCACATCCATGGAGAAGACAATTATTAAAATCTGAACATATGACACACTGATGCATAGGACCAGGAGTGTTAAACTCATTCCATGGAGGGCCTAGTGTCTGCTGGTTTTGGTTATTTCCTTTCAATTAAGGACCTAGACAACCAGGTGAGGGGAGTTTCTTACTAATCAATTAGCTTAATTAATCAATCAAGTACAAGGGAGGAGTGAAAACCCACAGACACTTGGCCCTCTGTGGAATGAGTTTAACACGTGCATAGGACTGTTGGACACTACTAACTCAACTCAAGGCTGTGTTCATCTTTAACTGCAGACATAAAAAAAGAAACAGACATTAGAGAGAACATCCTTAATGAACACAAGAACCTCAGTGTTTTCTCTGACAAAGTTCCATTTATGGAGGAGAACTGCATGTTTGACATTACTTACCTAGCTCTTGACTGTGTTTAGCTTTGGATGCATCTGGAGGCATGAAAATAGATAACAGTTCACAAAAGGACCTACTCAAGATGTTTTTTGACAAAGTCCTTTCCATGAAGGAGCCAATTACACTGACGTGATTCAGAAACCACACACTGTGATTTAAAGAAACCTTATATTAAATAATCTAGCATTTTTGTAGAGAAAGTTGTTTCAAATAAAAATGGGTTTGCCCTATACATAGATTTTTTTTAAATACAAATCCTTAAATACACATGTACAGTATCTGACCAATGTCTGCTTTTGTCACGACTTCCGCCGAGGCTGCCTCCCCTCCTTGTTCGGGCAGGTTTCGGTGTTCATCGTCACCGGCTTACTAACTACTGCCGATCTCATTCTCATCACTCCACTTGTCATGTCTTGTCTTGTCAATCACACACACCTGGTGCTCATTCCCCCAATTAGAATGTATATAAGTGTTCCCCTTGTCTTTGTGAGTGATTGTTTATTGTGAGAGCGAGGAGCTCGGTTGAGCTACTCTTCTATTTGTACTTGCCAAGGTGGAATATTTTCCCTTGTATTAGTTTCGTTTTCACGCTGGGAGCGTTTTATTTATGTAAACGTAATAAACTCTGGACTTCGGTATTTTACCTCCTGCGCCTGACTCCTTCATTCACACCTCATCACAGCTTTTTAATTCTAAAGGTCAAATAGGGGGGTTCTTATATTTGTCCTGTTTCACTGCATGTACAAGTGGTTAACCTGTACGAGTGTGAGGTGTGAAATGGAAATGTGTTTTTTGCATATCCCAACTCTCCCTGAGATACTCTCGGAGAGTGGGGTCATGGCCAGGGATCAGATTGATGACGACCCTGGAGCAATTAGGGTTAAGTGCCTTGCTCAAGGGTAGATCAACTGATTCGTTTCACCTTGTCGGCTCAGGGAATCGAACTAGCAAGCTTTCGGTTCTAGTACCCAACTCCTTGTGTATGCCACTCTGGAAACTGCACTGTAAAACATTTACATTCAGTCAAATAAACTCTTTAATTCGTTTTCTATTACCGTAGTCATTGGACAAACGATTCCAGCCCCAGATGGTGAAAGCTAATATGACCACAAGGACAATGCTCAGAGAGACAATCACTGCAAAGGCCACTCTCCATGTGTCTGTGTGAACAAGGATCAGCTCACCTGCAAGACACAAATCAACTGAGATCAGTGACATGCTTACCACTGCTACCAAATAATACAATTGAAGGGACATTTCACTCATAAATAATGATTTGTCAAGCTTTTACAGACCTCAAATGCAGACTAATGTCAAAATGAAACCACATCCCATGACATCAGGTGTGTTGATCAAGCTATATGCCTCAATGCCAAATGAATGGAACATTTGAGAGCCATCTCATTTCCTGGTTTTCCATTCATTTGGGGTGGAGGCATACAGCTGGATCTACAAAACCAACATTTCATTTTGACATTAGAATACTTTAGTGTTCTTAAAATGTTGACAAACTTGTATCCAATTGTCCTATTTATGTTTCATTATTACTCAGCCTTTGTAATACAAAAGCATCTAAAACATGAAAAGTGTTTCATATCAGCTAAACAATAATATGATGTTGTGCAACTCACTAGAGATGTGAAACTCTGTCTCCATGTTGATCTGCTCACTGAGTTGCCTCTGTCTGAGTCTGCAGGTAAAGTGGTTGGTGTCAGTCTCCTTTACAATGGTCTTTAGTTTGACTATGTAGAACCCCTTATAGTCCCTGTCTGTCTCTGAAGGTCCAGCAGACAGAGTGACCCCTTCACTGTCCAGCCACTCCAACTCAGGCTCAGGGAACCCGCCTTTAGATACACACAGCAGACCCATCCCTCCTTCTTTCTGTCCCTCAATGGAAAGCTCTGGCTTGGATCCTAAAGCTACAGACACAAAGGGAGACTGGAGATGAAGTACTGCTGAGATTGGAAACACTTCGCTGTGGGTTGTTGTATATATGGGGAAAGAAATGTACCTCTTATGTGGACTTGAATAGTGGCATCATCATAATGGGTCTTAGACTCAACAAGACATTTGTACTGTCCATCATCAGTGCCTTGTACCCTGGTCAGTTTCAAAGAGGTGTTGCCCTTCTTCAGTTCCTCTTTAAACAATGATGTCCTTCCTTCGTAGGAGCGGATCTGATCATGGTATTTGTCTCTGCCGTCTTGGTAGAGATGGACTCGAATGTTTGACTGAGGGTCTGGGAGGTTGACTCTGAACCAGTCAACTCTCATGTCCTCAGCGCTGATGTTGAGTTAGATGTAACAGGGCAGAATGATGTCATCACCAGCCACAGCAACAATGGCACGAGTCGGACCAAGAACCTCAAACTTCTCTGGAAAGAAAAATAAAATGACTGTGCACATCATCAACTGTTAGTCCCATTGAGACTTTAACAGACCACACTAAAGATAAACATCAAACCTGGCTCTAATACTTAAGGTTTGCTTGATTTAGCTTGGTTGTCAATGGAATAGCCTAGTACCGAAAGTGCAAATGGTACCCATCGTTCAGGCAAATCCTCACATCGTTCATACACAAACACACACACACTCAAAGAACATGTGAGGTCACTCTACCAGAGCCTGCTCTTTGGAGGAGAAGCAGGAGAGTAACACAGAGACAGTCTGTCCAAGTCCACATCATTTCTGAAAGAGAAGATTACATACTGTATATCTATCATAAAGATCCTGAGCCCTAGACCCTCAATGTGATTCAAAGTAGGCTATTTTATGGAGCATATGGTATGGATTTGCTATTTAATCACCTGAGACCAAAGACAGAAGACTACTTAAGACAGACTTTCTAAAATATGTAAAACTTGTTCATTTTATTAAGGTAAGGTAAAGGGAGACGGAACCAAAGGTACCTGAAACTTTAGCCTGACTGGTTCTCACACACAGTTATTGCCAACCATCAACATTGACTTGAATATTAATTGTGGGGATTTATTAGTACAAAGCATTTCTCCCATTAGCTCTATTATCCCTGACAGCTTTAAACAGATATACAAATAATACTTACAATTAGATACATGCAGATCACAATTGAGAAGGGTTTGGTTTAAAGCTTGCTCGCCCATGGGGAAAGACTGGTGTGTCTACTGCAAGACAGGGAAGTAGCTTGCACCATAACTTGATATACTTGTTATTCTTGTAGATGAGATGGAATCCAAACTTTAATCAGCTTGAGTTAACTTATGAGGAAGTAGGTGAGAGGTGGCATAGTTTCTGGAAACAAAACCCGGACAAACTGGCTACACTAAGATGTCGCACATAGAGATCACAGGAGGCTGGTAATGGGGGGACGGCTCACAATAATGGCTGCAGTGGAGTAAATGGAATGGTATCAACATGGCAACCAGGTCTTTGATGTGTTTGAGACCATTCCATGAATTCCGTTCCAGCCATTACTATGAGCCGGTCCTCCCCAATTAATGTGCCACCAGCCACCTGTGATATAGATGCAAGCGATTGCCCTTACCCTGTACCTCCTCAGACTGGATGTGAAAGATTTTAGAAAATACATTTAAAGACATAGCAACGTATACACGTATTTATTCAACAACATCGTTTTAGATTGTAACAGAAAAGTAATTTAGAGTTTCTGATTTAAAAAAACAACAGTTTAAGAAACTGTAATAATGACCAATAAAAGGCCTGTCTTCCCTGTGCTGAGGGATCATCCACTTCCCTCAGCCTATTGTTTGTTCACTTTCACTGGAATTTGTTCTTACTGTCCTTTCATATCTCTTTATATGACCGTCCATATGTCACATATTGATTGTGGTGTCCACTGTGGTGGGTTGTTGGCATGAACTACATGCGAACCACAGCCTTATTGCACTGACATCAAGTTAACACTACAAGGCAGTAGACACACACTGATCACAGTGACATGTGATTGCAGAGACGGAAGAGGAAGTGAGACATCCCACTCCCTAATTTATTTTTTCAATGGAAGTCAATGAACTAAGTAAACCAGACCCAGCTGCTATCGCATTGGTGTCAATGGGAGAGCCACCCCCTTAAGTAGACCGGAACTGACCATTTTTTTCAATGGTAAACGGCCTGAGTGGTCTATCTTTATTTATCCACCATCTTTGGTCATGGCAGATAGGCTGTGGTGCTGTAGAGGGGAAAGCACATGATCATGTTAGGAAATACAAACTAGTTATTTTATCCTATTTCAGCTCGTATTAATAAGAAATAATGTGGTACTACTGACTAGTACGTCATGATACCTACATATTTGGCAACTGCTTGATACGGTAACCGAATGGTGCTCTACATCAAGTTGTTATTTGATCTGGACAAATGCAGTGTACTATATTATGAGGTGTAGTAGGTTATCATTTGACATTAACCCTGAGTGTTCTACCATACCAGTCTCAGAGCAGTACAGTATACAGTATTACACTTTTAACACTATTGGGCCAAACCGAACTCTAATGGGCTGCCTCTGATATTTACCTTCCACATAGTTTCTGGAACCGTGATGGACAAGACCATGTTAAACGTATAACCAGGCCAGCCCAGTACAGCTGTGTTCATCTTGGCTCAGGTCAGTAGTGTGGAAGGGTATATGAGCTATATTCTAAATGTATGTCTCTGGGTCTGTGTGTTGGCAGTGGTTAGTTGTGATGTGAGACTGCTGAGACAGGCGGGAAACAGAAACAGGAAATACTATAGTCCACCTGAAGTGGGTGGCACGCATCCCATAACACACTGCAAAGAGGAGAGGAGAAAACACACCCACTCTGTTCCAGACTCCAAAACAACTTGAAAGTACCCTTTCATGTGTGTGTGACAGGACATGAACAAATGTTGGTTTACTTGTAATACTTTTGTCTACATATCATTTAATGATATAAATAATTTAATAAAGATAACAATCATTATATCATGATTACCATTACTATTGTTATTATTGACTTTAGAGGGGGTTGTTGGGAAATGTGGAATGTACAGTTGAAGTCGGAAGTTTACATACACCTTAGCCAAATACATTTGAACTCAGTTTTTCACAATTCCTTGCATTTAATCCTAGTACAAATTCCCTGTTTTAGGTCAGTTAGGATCACCACTTTATTTTAAGAATGTGAAATGTCAGAATAACAGTAGAGAGAATGATTTATTTCAGCTTTTATTTCTTTCATCACATTCCCAGTGGGTCAGAAGTTTACATACACTCAATTAGTATTTGGCAGCATTGCCTTTAAATTGTTTAACTTGGGTCAAACGTTTTGGGTTGCCTTCCACAAGCTTCCCACCATAAGTTGGGTGAATTTTGGCCCATTCCTCTTGACATAGCTGGTGTAACTGAGTCAGGTTTGTAGGCCTCCTTGCTCGCACACGCTTTTTCAGTTCTGCCCACAAATTTTCTATAGGATTGAGGTCAGGGCTTTGTGATGGCCACTCCAATACCTTGACACTGTTGTCCTTAAGCCGTTTTGCCACAACCTTGGAAGTATGCTTGGGGTCATTGTCCATTTGGAAGACCCATTTGTGACCAAGCTTTAACTTCCTGACTGATGTCTTGAGATGTTTGCTTCAATATATCCACATCATTTTCCTTCCTCATGATGCCATCTATTTTGTGAAGTGCACCAGTCCCTCCTGCAGCAAAGCACCCCCACAGCATGATGCTGCCACCCCAGTGCTTCACGGTTGGGATGGTGCTCTTCGGCTTGCAAGCCTTCCCCTTTTTCCTCCAAACATAACGATGGTCATTATGGCCAAACAGTTCTATTTTTGTTTCATCAGACCAGAGGACATTTCTCCAAAAAGTACGATCTTTGTCCCCATGTGCAGTTGCAAACCGTAGTCTGGCTTTTTTATGGCGGTTTTGGAGCAGTGGCTTCTTCCTTGCTGAGCAGCCTTTCAGGTTATGTCGATATAGGACTCGTTTTACTGTGGACATAGATACTTTTGTACCTGTTTCCTCCAGCATCTTCACAAGGTCCTTTGCTGTTGTTCTGGGATTGATTTGCACTTTTCGCACCAATGTACGTTCATCTCTAGGAGACAGAACGCGTCTCCTTCCTGAGCGGTATGATGGCTGCGTGGTCCCATGGTGTTTATACTTGCGTACTATTGTTTGTACAGATGAACGTGGTACCTTCAGGCATTTGGAAATTGCTCACAAGGATGAACCAGACTTGCGGAGGTCAACAATATTTTTTCTGAGGTCTTGGCTGATTTCTTTTGATTTTCCCATGACGTCAAGCAAAGAGGCACTGAGTTTGAAGGTAGGACTTGAAATACATCCACAGGTACACCTCCAATTGACTCAAATGATGTCAATTAGCCTATCAGAAGCTTCTAAAGCCATGACATCATTTTCTGGAATTTTCCAAGCTGTTTATAGTCAATTTAGTGTATGTACAGTCAATTTAGTGTATGTAAACTTCTGACCCACTGGAATTGTGATACAGTGAATTATAAGTGAAATAATCTGTCTGTAAAGAATTGTTGGAAAAATTACTTGTGTCATGCACAAAGTAGATGTCCTAACCGACTTGCCAAAACTATAGGTTGTTAACAAGAAATTTGTGGAGTGGTTGAAAAACGAGTTTTAATGACTCCAACCTAAGTATATGTAAACTTCAGATTTCAACTGTATTAGCCATTTCATGCAATCTAGAGCCTTAATTATATCAAATAAGGAAGCCATTCAAACTAACACAGTAAATCTCGGGAGACCGAGAAAGAGAGGAGGTAGTGAAAGGGTAGAGACAGTGAAAGAGGAGACAGTGAAAGAGGAGACAGTGAAAGAGGAGACAGTGAAAGAGGAGACAGTGAAAGATAGGAGACAGTGAAAGATAGGAGACAGTGAAAGATAGGAGACAGTGAAAGATAGGAGACAGTGAAAGATAGGAGACAGTGAAAGAGAGGAGACAGTGAAAGAGAGGAGACAGTGAAAGAGAGGAGACAGTGAAAGAGGAGTCAGTGAAAGAGACAGTGAAAGAGAGGACAGTGAAAGAGAGGACAGTGAAAGAGAGGACACAGTGAAAGAGAGGACACAGTGAAAGAGAGGACACAGTGAAAGAGAGGACAGTGAAAGAGAGGAAAGAGTGAAAAGAGAGGAGACAGAGAAAGGGTAGACCAGGGGAGAGAAAAAGAGACAAGGCCCACTGCACTGAGGGATATGACAGACAGACACACACACCCTGCCACAGCACGCAGGTGGTGTGGGATATAAATACCCAGTGATGAAGAATGGATAAAACACAGTCTGCCCACACTGGTCTCTGTCTCAGGGAACTCACGAGGAGCC